CAGTGAGTCTCCTTTGTGTGTGGCTTTCTATCCACCACCTGTCTGCCTCCAGGAAGGTGAAGACAAGAGATGAATACAAGAATAAACTGACCCAGGGGCAAGTACTAGGGTGGGGTGGGATAAGGAAAAAGAATATAAAAGAAAACACGAAATAAACAGAAACTGAAATCCAAAAGGTAAAGATGAAATGGGATGTGTACAACGATAGGTAAATAAGAATATAAGCCTACCTACTTAAGAGGCTTGGTTGAAAGAATGTATATGTCCCACACAGCTGTTCACAGGTCTGGGAGCTGGGAGACTCAAAGCTGCAGGTTCTCTGGGCCCCATTCATTATCCAACTGGACTTCAAGGCAGAGAACCCTAATATGTTGCTGGGGGCTTCAACATTCATTTACAGAGTTTCTACAGCATCCCCCTGAGCTGTCAGAGGAAAAACCAAAAGTTTGAAGAGCCAGGTTGCCACCTCAGGCAGGTCACCTCATCTCAGGCATCCAGTTCATTCAGTTAAAAAAAATGATTGCCCACAGAGCAGCGGTGAGAGCTAGCTAGGTCTACATACATAAAAATTTGTGAGACTAGAAGCACACAATGCTTTTCAAAGCAGGATGCTTTTGCAATTCCTAGTGTTATAAACAGCCTTTGGATGCCCAAAAGGATATGGGAATCATTTACATGGCTTTGTCTAAGCCCAGAGACCAAGGTTCAGTCAGAAGCAGTTAATTCCCACTGAGAGTTTTAATTAATTCCCCCATTTTGTTCAAGAGAACAAGAGGCAGTATTTCTGATCAGTACACATCTAAGAAGTATCTATAAAGATCTGTGCAAACAACACACAGAACAATAACCAAAATGTTTTCAGACTGGAAAAATAAGAAGAGCCTGACTGACCACATAAAATGCACCGTTGGCCAACAGGAGTGGAGTCACGCCTTTGGCACACACAGCTGAAGGCATGTTCACTTTTCCATTGCCCCAAAAAGGTACCTGTGGTTTGAGTCAGATCTTCATGGCCACAAGTTTTTCCTTTTTACAACTATATTGCTGTGCACTCTAAGTACTCTGTGCTACATACATGTTTATAATGAATACAGAAAGAATTTCAATAGTCACAAAAGCCTAAATTTGAGGGGCTGGAGGATGGTTCATGGAAATCCAGTTTTCCATGAAAACATGAGGGCCTGAGTTCAAATCCCCAGAACTCATATAAAAAGCAAGGAAAGGCTGAGCACATACCTACAACCCCAGCTCTCAGAGGCAGGGGTGGAATGGAGACAGGAAGATTGCTGGAGCTTGCTGGCCACCAGCCTAGATAAAGCCTACGAGCTCCAGGTTCAGGGAGGATGCCACCTCAAGGGAACAAGGGGGATGAACCAAATAGAGAGCAAGACATCTAACAACATCATCTTCTAGCCTCTAGCACACTTCAAAAAAAAAAAAAATCTGAGTTTCACTCTGTTCCAATTTAGACATTAGGCTAGCTGAATCCATCCCCAGAAGCCTCTTAAAAGCCATCACTAACCATAGTGGCTCATCAGATTCCATGTTTGCTTGTTCCTAGCCTGCCACCTCTACTGAATCCTGGCCAAGGAAGGGATAGCTAGTTATGCACAGCTCTTCATGGAGTTCTGGGCAGCATTTGAGTGCTTGATGACATGGCTGGGGCAAAACAGAATCCCAAGAACATGGCTGCTATAACCTGCCCAGTATCTACTGGGAGAGCACAGCCTTCATTAGATACATACTCTGGTACATTCTCTGGGATGCTGGGTGAGAGCAGTTCTTCATCATTCCTTGATTGACACACCCAGGAGACTACTGCCAGTGCTGAACTTGACTGAACTTGGTGACAGAGTAGGTTCCAGATCAAATCCAGCAAGGGACATGCTATAATGAAGTATCATTGGTATGCAGGAAAACACTAAGGTGTTTGGGGAAACCCTAAGATAGACCCCTAACAATAGCTCTGGCCTTTCAGAGCCAAAAACTGCTTTCCAAAGCTACTGCTTTAAGGTTGTCAGAGTATATCTGTCCTCTTGTTTTGATATGAAGTATCAAGGTCTTTAGACTTAGCAAGATAGGGTTCATTTCCTTCAGCACTTCCTATCAGCCCTGGATTCTAGTTCCAAGATTTTTGTTATAGAGCACACACTGTTCCAACTGGTCAGACTATGTTTATTTATATCAACGTACTTTGTCTGTAAATATGTTTGGATTTGAGTGTTTCACACTGGGCACTTTCTTGAAATGCTTTTTTCCCCCTTTACTGAAATAAAGTCTTGCTGTATAGTTCTAGGCTGGCCTTGAACTTCTGATCCTTCTGCCTCTATTGGTGAAATTATTAAGGCCATTCCACGTAGTTAAAAGGGAGGTTTATTTTGTGGAGTAACTTACAAGTGAATGGATAGTTTACAGAGTCTGGGAAAGGCGTGGTGCAGTCTGGCAGTGTTCTCTGGAGAACTCTGCTGGGTCTACCTCCAGCATCCAGGGTCCAGGAACTAAGAGCGCCCGCGCATGCGCATCTGGAACCTGGATCTTCAGCGTCCTCTCTCAGCCCCACCTTGTAGGCGTGACAGTTACTGAAGCCTCAATGGGGGTTGGGGCTTCCAGGTCAAAGCTGGAATGGCTACCCACAACATGCCTCATCTCCCTGAATGCTGGAATTACAAGCACGTACTACTATGCTTGATTCTTTCTTCATTAGCCACTTAGATAAGTTATGCTTTTAGATGAATGTGAAAGTAAAAAAAAAAAAAAAAAAAAAGTTATTCCTTCCAGGCTAGACATGAGGGCATGTCAAATTCCAAAGACCAAGTGTCAGTGAGCCACAAGTGCTAGGCATAAGGCTTCAGGAGAAATGTCAAAGCCACTAAAACTACAGCTGAAGCTCAAAAGTACCACTAGAATGACTAATACTATCAGCTCCACAGGGAATAGAATCACTCTGGAGATACATCTCTGGCATGTCTGTGACGAAGTTCCCAGAATGGGTTAACTGAGGAAGGAAGACCCACCCTACCTAACTGTGGGCAGCACCATTCCATGGGCTGGGGGTCCCAGACAGAATAAAAAGCAGAAAGGGGCTTTTTATGTGAGTTCTTGTAACTTGATCTCAGGTCCTCAAGCTTTCATTGACAGCCTGATTAGCCATTGAGCCATCTCCCCGGCCTCCCAATTCAGGCATTTGTGACTGGTTATTGGCAGCTACTGACATCCTAACTGTAATCATTATAGATGACACTCATCTCTCCCTGCTTCCTGACTTTAGATACAGTGTTTCCAGCTACGTCATTCTCCTACTGCCAGGCCGTCCCTGCCATGATGGATGACACCCTCAAACTGTGAGCCAAGAGAAGTTCTTCCACCCTTAAATGGCTTGTAACAGGTATTTTGTCAGAGAAAAAATAAAGAAAGGTACCAAATACAATCACTCCATGCAAGCCTTTAAAAATAGAAAATATAGACCTTAGGGAATGCCTGCCTGGTACTGAAACCTGGTCAGCTGCTGAGGCCATAGAACCAAGAGAAAAACCTACTATTGTCAATTATCTAGACCAATATTAATTCCCAACTATATCCTAAAAACCTACCTTTATACCCATAGATAAAAGTAGCTCTCTTCCTTTATCAAAGAAACTTCTTTGTACAGTAACCAGAGAAATTCACAACTGTTCAAAGAGCACAAACACTGACTGTGTGGTACCCATCCCCAACTGATATATCTATAACACGACCTCTACAGCTAAGACTCGGGGTACATAGAAGAAGGAGTGGAAAGATTGCAATACAAAGGGGACCAGGACGTCTGCTAAGAAGAGACAGACTCTGATACATATGGCATGGGGCTGCACCCATGAAATTTTAACAATATAGCTGCTGAACAAGACCTAAACAGTAACACCACCAGCTGACATCTCAATGTGAGCAGGGGAAATCCCACAAGACCCCACCCTTAAATCATGGGTGGCAATTAATGGCTGCTAAGAGGAGGAGAACCCTCTACCCTCCTCCATTAGCTTTCAATTACATACACTGGGGAGGGGGGTAAGTGTTGCTGGTCAGTTTCTCATCATCCAGTGATCTAAAAACCCACCTTTAGGAAACCAAACGGAGTCCACAAATAATGAATTAAATAGCTTCTTGGTTAACCAACAATTGTGTCATCATACTTCACTCATTCATTTATTCAATGACTAAGATATTACTGAACTTCACAGCAGGTATAATAAATACTATCAGAGAAAGTAATGTGTGTACATGAACAACAAGGATATAAGGAAGAGATGAATAGACTTTTACCTTCAAAAGGCAGAAGAGACTTTATAGAGCAGGCCCCACTTCCAGGATTAAGTCTGAAAGCTATAAAAGACTTCTTAGGGAACAACATCACCCTTGCAAATAGCCTTCCCAAGACAGATAGGCTATCTTTTGAGACCATGATTAATTACTATCCTTCAGACATTCTGAATTCCATAAGCTTTCCAAGCAAAGGGTGGAGTGAGGCTCCAAGATCATCCTCCTGGCAACATGCATATCTCTTCCTCAAATTATGAACATGGCTCGGCTCTAGGTAGTGCTAAACATCCATTATAGGTGGCTAGATACATAAGGAGCTTAAAGCACTGAACTGTAAAAGTGGTATTTGTACATTTGTGCCAACAGCCAAGAAAGAGTGATGCTACAACCAGGAGGAAAGGAAGAAGATGAGACTCTGAAGAATTTCCTCATCTTGCCAGTTCTAATAGACACAGTGACTGATTACTGAAAATGCCATCAGACCCAGGGCAGCATCACTAAGTATTGGGAGTTGGGGGTGGAATGAACACTGTGATTTAGCTATCTGGAGGCACTAGAGTTAATTGACTGGTGCCTCTTATACAGCTAGTGTCTTATAGAAAGGCCAGTAGCCCTATAAGATCCTCAAGTGGGTGAAGGCGGAGGGCTGGACTATAGGTCAGTTGGTAAATGCTCACCTAGCATGCACACAACTCTAGGTTCAATCCTCAGCACTGCATAAACAGGATATGGTGGTCCACACTTACAATCTCAGCACTCAGGAAGTAGAAGCAGGATGATCAGAAGTTTAAGTCATCCTCAGTATTTAGTTAAGGACCAGCTTGGGCTACATGAGACTTCAAAAAGTGGCAACAAATTCAGGAGGAAATAGATAAGAAGGGTTGCTTACGAAGTACACAATGGCAAGGACATTCATTGCAGAGGGGAATTTTAAAGGTGACTTCAGGGACAAAGAGAGTGTGCTCAGGAAGGGCAGGGAAGGAGGAGGATAGACAGTAAGTTTTTAACTCCTCCAAGAACACTGATAAGAGGAAGGTGAATTAGAAGGTGCAAGTACAGAGACAAAGATAGTTTTGTTTTTTCCATGAGAACTAAAAAGAAACTTTTCTCCTCCAAGAGCAATGGAGTACACAGGGAGCCAATGAGAGAAGACTAGGAAGAGTCAAGCAGGATGAGGTCAAAAAGACTGACTAGACACTGCGACAGCCCTGGCTATGAGAGAAGACCCCCAGCCACATGAAAGAGAAGGAAGTTCAGAAGTAACAGCTGTGAGCATGATTATACTTGGTGAAGGGGAAGGAAGATGAAAAATTCATCTAAATTTGCCCCTCACCCTGTCCCCATCAAGTCAGTAATGACATCAGTTGAGAATAGAGTGCAAAGTCAGAGTCAGAGGGAAAACACATTGTCAGGAGTGCAGAGTTGAGTCACAGGATGCCTAAGGGCTGCTGCCAGTTCATCAAAACTACCAATGCCTATGCTTCTTTGAGGGCCCCACGAGCTACTCAACCAAAGACCCTGGCAAGATGTCACATCACAAGATTCCATGGAGTAAAGGTTTAGGAAACCTACTCAGAGTCAAGGATTAGGCATGTGGCTCTGACGTAATCAGAGGTTGTCAAATGATGCTGATTATCCCACAACTAACATTTACGATGTGTATTCCAAGTACTGAATACACTGAAAAATTTATTTCTATTTTACAGTCAGGGAAGTGGAGTTCCAGGGAAGTTATACACATTGTTCAATGTGCCCAAAAGGTAAGATATGAATGCAAGGAGCCTGGACTCCGGGTCTGTGCGGTTAACCGGTAGAAGAGGTCTATCACAGGAGCTGTTGGTTATTTCTCTAATGACCATTATAGATTAAGTGAATGAAAAGGGAGTCAGATACAGTATCTGATTGTCTTTGAAGCTCTTCTGACCCAAGTGGCCAGGCTACTAGATCAACCATTTGAGTTTGCAATGGCATAGAATAAGATTTTAAGTTTGCAGCTTAAATATATTCACATTTTACTACAGAACTAAGGTAAACTGCATGGTAAACTCAGGTGGCTCTGTTTTGTGACTGATTGTAGGGTGGAAATTTTCTTAGAGTCTAAGTGCTGAAGCCATGCAGCAATGTGAAGATACTGCTATTTGAATACATTTTCAAAAACACCACTGTTTAGTTCTCTTCCTGGGAAAATGAACTCCTGCTCAGGGAGCAGAGGGCTGGTACTACAGACTCTGCTAGGAGCCTTCTTCAGAGACTGTTTCATGGTTATGTGGGTTGGATCTACCGATCTCAGTGCATGACATGGAGAAAATGTTGGTGAGTCAGGAACTAGACAGCGGGAAAGGATGAGGGCCTCTGGGTACTTGTAGCAGGAGTTACCTAGTGCTTAGGTTTTATCTGCTCAAAGAATGAACTGGAGGGTGAGCCCCCAGCAGTTTCTACTTAGCAACCGGAGATCAGCTGAGCAGTCAGCAATCAGTGGGATGCTGGGCCAGGTAGAGGCCACCTCTTCTAAGTCTTCAGTTTGCTTGGTTTAAAACCTTGATCTGGAACATGAGAAGTCTAGAGCTTGAGGAGTCAATGGCCTAGCATGCACTTCGAAGAAGAAGCAGTCCATTCTCACCTGCTCCTTTTTCAGCTTCTCTTTCCTACTAATAACATGAGCAGTTAAACATAAGCATGCTGCTGAATGCTTCCTATACACAATTGGCACTATGCTAACCATTTTATAAGCATTAACCTTACTTGATCCTTAAAGAGACCTGTGTAGAAAACACTAGTATAAGCCTCCTATTTTATAGATTTAAAAACAGGTTCAGGCTTTTGAGTACATCAATCTAAGATCACATACCTGGTAAATGTGGCAAAGCCAAGATTCAAATCCAGACCTCACTCCACCTGTATGCCTGTACCTATAACAGTACACACCACTCTGTCATCCCTCAAAGGCCCCAGTGATGTTTATTTTCCACGTAAATACTTTCTTCCGGCTAGCTCCTCCCTCATCACAGAGCCCCTCTTTGTTCTGACTCCTCTTGGGCTTGGTAAATGAGGGATTAGTACTAGCTGACACCTGTAAGACATTACCCTCTTGTCTCAAGTCAAAGGGCAAGGCTCCCACTATGTGCACTAGCTCACCACTCATACAGGAACCTCTTGTTCTAGAACCGAACTCTTATGCATGGAAGAATGAAAGAGACAGTGTTTCTACCTTCAAAATCGTAAGCTCTGAGAAAGCTGTTTTCTGCATAAGCACATGAGAAGGTAGGTGGGGAGTGGTGACCGCCTGGACTGGAGGGCCTCTAGAAGGACTAGATCAGTAAAGGGATGGCTGCAAACAAGGGGCCTAATGGAATCAGGTAGAGAAGGTAGGAATTAGAGAAAAGGACAGCCGAGATAAAGCTTAAAAAATAAAAATTAAAAAATATTTTAAAAAACCAGGAAATATATACTTGAAGGTTACTAAAGAATTAAATGAAAAAGGTATTGATTGGAACCAAAGGCAGAAGAAGCTGAGGAGGCTGCATTTCCTCTTCCAGACTGAAGATGAGTCCCAGAGGCTCACAGCTACAGACAGAAGCAGCGTCTTCTGGTTTGGGGAGATTAAAAAACCTGGCCCAAGGATTTGGGGTAAAGAAGGGAACCCACCACTACAAAATATATTTTACCTATGACACATCCAATATTCGATGTTTGATTTACTGTTGTTAATAACTCTTAAAATCCTAAAAGCAGAGAAATATATTTGCTATGGGTTCTGTGGGGGTTCTAAAGTTGTTGCCTAGCTCAGAGAGTCTATCAGAGCTCACATCCTGCATCTTGGAGGAGACAGAACCTTCTCATGTTGCCTTGTGGGCAGAATTGGTACCTACAGACAGAACCTCTGTCCAAGGACCTGTCACAGCATCTGTGCAAGGCTATGATTACAGTTCCCATACCAGGCATATGGTGACTTGTAGACCCTCTCAGTTAAACGCTTCCTTTTGGAAACAAGGACACAAAGACTGAGTGTTGGGAAGTACGCTTTTTCCTAGTTCCCTCCAGCATCTCCCTAGCACAGCTTTTTAAAAGCTTAGGATGGTGCTGACCTTTACCAGAAGGTCCAGGTGTCTCAGCATGCTCTCTGGTCGCTGAAATGCCCTACTTGCTACAAAGCAAAGGCTGAGTACAGACAGGATTTCTATTGCATTCTGAACCAATCATTTTCTGCGTATTTGCCAAAACTGAGGAAGGAGCAGGACCAAGAGACAGAGAAAATGGCTCAAGACCAGGCTGCCCGACCACTAACTAGCCAGCACTCACAATGTCCTTGGCCTGTCTTGGGTTTTACTAAATGAAGTCTGGTACTAGCTGACTCCTATAGGCCATCCAACTCTCTAATCATGTCTCAGATGCCTCAATTTCCCAACACAGCTTACTACACACCACATCACAGTTACAGGGATTTTCTTAAAATACAAATTAGACCCCACGATAGATCCCATGTTGCTTCCTCACTACAAACCCAGTCATGACAAACCACTGTCACCTACTGCCCCTACATGGCCTTCGCTGTTCTATGTGATCTGGCATCTGCCTGCCTCTACCCACCATGACTGAGTCCAGCAACAATGGCGTTCTCTGTCTTGAAACCCTCCCGACTCTCCTGCCTTAGGACCTTTGCACACGCGCCACCCACCCTGGCTTTGGCCTGGAATGCTTCTCATCCCATATTCCACCTGACTCATTCCTATTATTCTTTCAGGTTTCCATGAAGTACTATTTCCTCAAACAGGGCTCCTGACCCTCTTCTTCAATCATCAACAGCCCTCCTGAGCCTTCCTTACTGCATGCTTATAGTTTGACATTGGTTTCCTGGGGCTGTGAGGCCTCCTGTTCCCTCTCAGGTTGGTTCAGCTTTGCTCACTACGGTACACACTGTACCAAGAGCTCAATATTTGCTAAGGAAGCACTGCAGCTGCAGAGGGTACACACAAAAAGCCAGCCAGCCCAGTGCCTGAAAGCTGACAGTCCAGTTCTATGTGTCCCTTCCAAGCAGGACACTTCCTGTCCTTCTGCAGTTACAATGTCAAACCTCTTATCTGTCAGGTGCTCCTTCCCTTCCTCCCTCTCAAACATATTCAGCCTAGAATTTCTCAATACGAAATGAACGTGAGGCCATCTTACATGAGAAGAACACTAAAGTTCTGAGTACAAAGCCCGTCTGGCCCCCTAGGTTCATTCATTCCTCACTCACACTCTACACAAATGCCCATGCCCTAAGAAATTGCATGAACAACGTGCAAGTGAAATCCTGGGCTTCAGAACACTGCAAAGAGAACTACCCTGGAGCCTTCCTCCGGAAACACAGAAGCTCACTGGGCTGGCAACAAATATACCCTCTGCCCCGGATAACATCAGGCCTGAGAATGAGTTAAACGACTTCCGAATTGAGGCATTTAAGACAGTAGCAGCTTCCTCTCTGTGTCCTGGAATCCAAGAACAGTGGACAGAATTTTCAGACCACGGTGTATGGAGATCCTGAATGCTTAAGAGCCCAAGTTAAAATAACTTAACTCTCCTCACTCTATTCTTGCCTTTCAGTACAGAGGCTCATTCACTAGGCTGTCAGGGCAGAAACAAAGGCAGCTGCCTGTTTTCTCCCTTGGTGTCTATAATTAGATTCTCATGAAGAACTTGGCCACAACAGGGTTCACTGGACAAATGCCTCCCCCTATCACTCACACACACACACACACACACACACACACACACACACACACACACACGGCCAAAACACCCCAAAGTGTCTCTCTCCTTACTCATTTCCAGAGAGACCCAGACAAAGCAGCCAGTCACTTACCCTCTTCAGCCACGAGAAATGCTTGTAAACATCAATGTCCCCATCCATGCTGGGTACCCATGTCAGCAGTTAGAGTCCTTGGTTGAGAAAAAGCCCTTTATTCTGGCTGGAGCTCAAGCCCTCTCCTCCTCCCTGCCTCTGCCCCCTCCCCCGCAGGAACAGCAAGCTGTGTTCCAGTTTCCCTACTACTTCCCTGGCCTGTGTCCTATAGCCTTTCTTTCCCTAAACAGGCTCAGATACACAAGACTCAGACTTGACGGTGCTGCTCCAGGGTCCTCCCCCACCGCCCCCACAGGAGGCAGGCAGGCAGGCACACAGACAAACGGACACACACACACACAGACCAAGACTGACTTCAGAGTTCTTCAGAGCAATCAAACCTCATCAAAAGGGGAGGCAGGAGTTGTAAACACACTTGAACGCGTACACTCACTCACACATGGGCAATGGGAACCTTCTCAGTGATAATACCAGAGCCTGCCAGAGGGAAACAGTCCGGAAGAAAATGCCTTGTCTGGCTTCTCCTTTCTGGCGTGGCTGGAACTCATTACCAAGAGCCCCCGATTTCCTGTCTCTGCTTCATTCTGCATTTACCCACAGGCTCCCAGCTGCTCTCAGTTTATTTGGGACTAGGGAGACAACTAAAAATAAGCACTACTCCCAGAGGAGCTTGCTGGTTCCCACACACAGACACACACACAGACACGCACACACACACACCCTCCCTGAAGCCCACACCTACCCCTCTCACAGATGGGCCATGGGCTGTGCCCCAAGGAAAGCCTGGATTTCCAAAAAGGACAGATTTAGAAGCAGCTCCAGATCCAGTTCTGGGCTCAGAGGTGTGCCAGGCTTAGGTAGGCTGTCTGCTGTCCTTGGCACTGCTGGCACTATCCACCAGAGATCAACTGTTACAACCTTGAGACCTTTACCACTGGCTCCCTCAGGGAGTGCTGCTCTGGGCTGTGAGCCACCACCACTGGGTTCCCTGGAGGTCACATATCACACCAGGGGGTTACTGCTTCTGTCAAGTCTCAGGACTGCTTCCTGGCTATCCTCACCTCTGGAGGTACCTTACAAAGCAGGGAGCTAGAAAGGGTGAGCTTTCATGAGACTTGGGGGGTAGCTCCAGGTAAGGAGGAGTCTAGAAAGCTTGGAGGAGAGAGAACTGTGTGTTTTCCCATTGGTGGGTCACATATGCTGGCTTTCCAGGGTGCCCCTCTAGCACTCCCCAGATGCCAATACCCCTCCTCTCCTCGTACTTTGACATCTCCTTTGAGAGCTCCCCCTAAAACAGCTTTTCTCCCTTGCCCAACCCTTAATGTGTGGCCTTTGGCTACGACTGATTATGAAAGTGATCTTTGATGTGGGTGCAGTGGGAATGGTGGTTACATGCAAAGGCTCTGCACTCAGCTGTCTGCTGTGAATGACTTGCAGACACACATCATGGGACTGCTAGGCCTTCCTGTGTCTTTCCTGGAAAGCCCAGCATGAAGAAAAGACGCCACTGGATGACAACAGCCCCCTCAACATAGATGGCATCAATGCTCACCACAGTCCACAAGCAAAGCCAGAAAAATAGGACACAAATAAGGCTAGCAGCACAGTCACAGATCAGAGGCCAGGGGAGGAGGGCTCCAGCAGGCAGCTGGCACGAAGGGAGGAGTAAATTCCTGCTGCAGACACACCCAGAGCAGAGGCCAGAAGGAAAAGCAGGCTCACTGCCCTGCTATGAGCTCTGGATCCCTCCCCTCACTCTAGCCTAGTGCCACTGTGGTCCAGGACCCTCCACCCCTAACCAATCCTGTTTTCCCAGCCCAGACCTCAATACAATGTGAGAAGCACGCAGGGGTAGAGAGGACTTTAAAAAAAAAAAAAATTATTTTCTAGGAACCTGAGAAAGTCAAATGAAGAAACTCATTAGGTAAGCAAACACTTTCTCTGCACCAAGACAAATGAAATGTACTTCCTGCCCTGAGTAGATAAAAGAATTCTTTCCCAGTATGTAATAAAGGTGTGCAGAGGCTAGGGAGCTGATTTGGAGACAGAGTCCCACTCCCTGAGAATAAGGGAAACTCACACTTTCCACTGAGGAGCTCAGTGCCTGCCTTTACTTCTGCTAGGAGATGAGTCAGGAATGAAATGGTACAAAGCTACTTCTCATCGACCGACTGACCTAACCCCCTAGGAGAGGTGGCTCAGATGCATCAGGGCAGAAAGCATCCTCTGACAACTCCTCCTCAGCACCTTCCTGGTACATCCTAAGTCCTCCAGTGCTGGTTAGAGGTCTCCTCCCCAGACCTGAGATTTCCAGCCCATGGCATCTATAGCTGATGGTGGACAAGGCTCTACTGCGCCGGACTGTGGCAAGTGCATCATATTTCTGATTCACTTCTTTTCACTTTCACACCCAGTATAATTCTTGCTACACAGAAGAGATTTAAGCATTCTCAGAATGAAAGAACGAGGCTCAAATACTGAGACAAGCAAAGACTAATATTCTATTTAAGAGAAAATGAGGGTTTAATGCCCTGTTTGCAGAAAAGAAGCAAAACCAGAGCCAATATTAACTCAACTCACAAGTGATGACTAGGGGCAGGGGTGGAGAGGAAAGGAGAGGGAGAAAAGCAGAGGGGCTGAGCTAAATTCTTGTCACTTACATATGTCCTCAAGCAGCAGTTCTTGCCTGAGTCTTTACCTGTTCTGTTAAAAACACCAAAGTATGTTCTACTTCACGACACTTACTTCACTTCAACCGCAAATCCAAAAAGTAGCACTCCAAAGGATCTGGAGCAGAGCATGTACATGTGGC